AAAGAGAATCAGGAATTCTCCGGTCATCTTTATTGGCAAAGGGAACTCAAGGCCAGCCTGTGCTACTTGAACCCATCCAAGGCTGGCAGGCAGATCCATTAACAAGGTCGATACGAGACACCACCCACACCTCACCAGTCTTCTGCAAGGCACTAACATTCACAAGGCCTTTTGAGGCATGTTATTAGATTTATCCATTATGTCTGACCTCTTCGTACAAGAAATAAAACCTAAAAAAAGGTACTTTCAAAACTCAGGTCAAGGGCACACACAGATCTGTACAAAGTGACTGACTACACGACTTCAGTCTGGTGTTACATACGACATTCATTATCAGATCTACTCCTTTTGAGGGGTCAGAGACTCCGAGATCTGATTAAAGTGATGGGCTCTCCTCCCGGAAGAATGGCATTCTGGAGGATTCTCTCAGCATCTTCAAAGGACTCATGGATCCATCGAGAATCAACATTTCCCTGGAGATTAACGATCTTCACTTTTCTTCACGGATCTACACTGTATTTACTCTGTGTAAGGAAATGATTTACTTGGTGTCTCGATTTTGAGGATCCAAGTTAAGTTACCTCAGGGAAACAGAAGGAAAGCCACTTTCTTTCCTTGCCCTCTGTTCCCTGGAGGGCTGCCAGGACCTCAGTGTGCACTCTCTACGAATGAAATACTGTACCCTCTGCAAAGCTTAAAGAAAATGACAGCTTCATTTCTGAGCTTAAATGTCCTAAATATTCAATTCCTTCCTATGTGGTCAGTAGCTTGCTTCCCCACACTATCCATATGATGGCATTGGAAGGTAAGCTATTGGAAGTTCAGAAAAGTACATACCCCAATTCAATTTCCCCAGAAAAAAAATTAAAATGCTCTCAGAGTTGAGAACAGCTGAGGGGCCAATGCCTTCCCAGGTGTTGGCCCAGGCGGTGCTGGGGAGGGGTAACGTGGATACTGAGAATGAGGCAACAGGGCATACCAATTTGTTTTCAATCTATTTTACTTCAGTTCAGAGCACCATCTCAGACAGACAGCCCAGGAAAACAGGCCGCACTCTGGTTACTCTCAGCCTTCCTCAATCTGCAAATGCAGCTGAGTGTTGCCAAAGTGCAGCTTGTTTTCCTAAGCTGCCGTCTGCACTGATGCTCTGAACTGAAATAAAATAGATTGAAAAACAAATTGGTATGCCCTGGATCCTCCTGCAGTTTCATACCCTGCTTCAAAGCTGGCGTTACCACCTACTCTTTACTGGAACCCAACAGACCCAAATCACAAAGTAGAAACAGCAAAGCTCAGATGGAAAGGTCCCACCCAAACCCAAAATAGCAATTTAATTCTGGGCTTGCAGTTCAATACTGCATTAACATGCCACTCTGTGGCCAGCTCCCAGCTCCATTCGCTGGCCTGGATGACATCTTCCAATGATATGCCTAACACGGTTACTGCATACAGTATAAAGCAAAACCTGACATCCATTCTTCCAGATGACAGCTCCAGCATTCCGTCAATTTAGCACAGCCTATTGTTTCTCACACTCTTGTTCTGTTCATACCTATTCAAAAGGCCTGGTGTTTTCCAAGTATTCCATACCATGGTAGACATGCTACATTTTTGTTCTTTAAGACAGAGTCTCATGATTCTTGCTTTTTTTTTTCCAGGCTGGCATCAGATTTAAGAAGACAGAGATCCACCCTTCTCTGTCTTCTAAATGCACAGATTAAAGGTGTGTGCCACCACGCCACCACACCACACCAAGGATGCTACTTTATTAAGAAGACAATGTTAAGAAAACGCACAATCAACCGCAAACACACCCTGGAGTCACCACCCAGCCTTTCCCAGAAAGCCCCAAGTGCAGATATTGGGGCTGAAGGTGTAGCAGGCTCAGAGCACATGTTTGGTGTGGGGCAGACCTCAGTTCCAATCCCAAATGCTCCCCAAAATGTATGTATCTCTCATGGAGGAACACGAACAGCCAAACAGTTCTAAGCTTAAAGCACTAAAATGATGAAAAACTTTGTGTACACAATTGTATAGCTTGGTTTTAAAAACTAAATTCTGGCTTGGTGGGATGGCTCAGTGAACTAAAGGTACCTGCTGCCAAGTCTGTGACCTTGGTGGAACCACATGGTGGTGGAAGAAAACCAACTCCTGTCAATTGTCTTCTTCCTTTCACGATCATACTGCTGCACCCAGGCACCTACACCCATCCACACACACACTCACACACACCATCCACACACACACACACCCATCCACACTCACACACCCATCCACACACTCACTCACTCACACACCCATCCACACACTCACTCACACACACATCCACACTCACACACACATCCACACTCACACACCCATCCACACTCTCACACACCCATCTACACACTCACACACCCATCCACACACTCACTCACGCCCATCCACACTCACACACACCCATCCACACTCACACACACCCATCCACACTCACACACACACTCATCCACACTCACACATACACACACACTCTCTTAATGTAAGCTTTAAACGCTTTAAAAGAACAATTAAATTCCACTTGGGAAAGCTGCCCTCTACTTAAACACTAGAGAAATCTATCTTCCCCTCCCCCCAAAAAGATAGAAAAATGCACATCCTCCCACCCCTCATTTTGCTTGTGACACATCTGAATTTCCACTATTATTTAATACATCTGGGGGCCAAATTCGGGTTAGTCTTTCCAATTAGATGTAATTACATGCAACAGCAAGCACTCTGTACCCCAGCACACCACACTGGGGCAAGAGGATAGATTGTATTACTAGTTTGAGACCAAAAAGACCTCATCTCAGAAAGAAAACTCAGAACCTATTAAGATATTTTCTCTTCTTCGATAAGCAATACAATATTTTGAAGTAGCCCCATTGTCCAGACTATAAGAGCAGACAAGAACTATGCCATGTGCCAAGCCACCCAACTCCACCAGTGCTCTTGGTGTAGAACAAATTCTCAAAAATTTGCTCAATGGATGCTCAAGAGTTGTATATTTACTATCTTCCTGTAAACTTCAAGCTGTGGCACTGGCTAGCAGGTGAGGCCACAAAAGTAAGATGTGGCATTACTCTTGAGGACCTCCCAAGCTGTCAGGAAAGACAACAGATGGAGCACAGCATGGCATGATCTGTTTACTTCAGCTGCACGCTCCCTATGCATAAACCATGTCATACTGACCATCTCTCCCCTGGGTAAACGGTAATCCTAACACTACCCGTGTCACAGACTAAGTGACAGTTCACATTAAGCCTTAGTGCCAGTACCTGGCACAAAGAAATTGCTCAACGAGCATTAACTGCTCATTTTATTGCTATGATGTTATAAGATAGGTGCTTGAAATTATTTTTGTCAGACAGGCAGAAGTAATGTACAACTGTAATTCCAACATTTGGAAGCTGGGGCAGGAAGATCTCAAGTTAAAGGTGAGCCTGGGCTGCACAGCAAGACTTTGTTTCAAAAATAGGAGGAATAATTATTTCTGTGTACCCAAGCTCATTGAAGAATTTAAATTCCACAGAGACAGGGGTCATGGTTATCTTGTGAACTAATACATTTCCAGGATTCATACCTGCACATAATAGACGCGATTAAATTCACTTATGCAAGCACAGATAAATAAAAAACAAACAAACAAGCAAAAGCCAGGCGGTAGTAGCAAACGCCTTTAATCCCGGCACTCCAGAGGCAGAAGCAAGTAGATCTTTGAGACCAGCCTGGTCTACTGAGCAAGTTCCAGGACAGCCTCCAAAGCTATAGAGAAATCCTGTCTCAAAAAACCAAAACCAAACAAACAAACAAAACTGGTAACTGAGGGAGCTCGGCAAGAGGCACATGCCTGTAATCTCAGCAGTTGGGAGGAAGAGGCAGGGAGGATCAGGAGTTCAAGGCCAACTTTGTCTCAAAAGAAATAAAAGACAGGTTGGGAAATACTGTCACAGAAAAACCATGTCTACATGACCATTGGTTAATTTATCCCAAATACTGAAAATCTGCATTTTGAGATTGCTTAAACAGCTGTAACCCATACCAAAATCTGGATATAATTCGAAGGAAGAACACTCCCAGAGGGAGAAAACTTGCAATCTGAGGCAACAGGGGACAACCTAGGCTACAGGGCGTTTCCAGTGACGGGCTCAAATTGCCAGCCCTATAACCTAGCACACCCAAAAACAGCTTAATCATACTTCACTTCTTCTGCAAAAGAAAAATACTTGCAACGCTATGTATAAACATACAATGTATGGTCTATTGCACGCACTGGGCGGATGATAACATCGCAAACTATGGGAAACTACTAGCTTGACCGTGTCGTGAAGCCAGGATACTGTGTCAATTGCACACTAGCTCAATCTACTTGCGCCTCGGGCCAGAGCTGGCAAACTTCTGTAAAGCATTAAAGAGAAATGACTCTGGCTTTATGGGCCTCTCCATCAAAGCCGAACAGAAACCAAGCAACTGCAAACACTCCCCCGCCCGGCGGCGGGCAGGCGGCCAGACTGAACACATAAACAACGAACAGGGCTGCATCTCCGTGCAACTTCACTTTGGGGAGCTGAAGTTTTATTTCACATGACTTCTATTTTCCTACAACTGTTTTAAAACGGATAAACAATTCTGGTGTCGCAGTAGACAAAAGCTGAGAGCAGGGGCCGGGAGGGAGCCCTGGGAGTGTGTACGTCCGCTGGCCCGTCGCAGGGAGCCGGGTAATAAGGCCCGGGGTGGCCAGGCAGGATCCCGCGTCCTCCCGCAGAAGTCGACGACCGAGACTACGCCCGAGGTGAGGGCCATCCCCGGGCCACGTCCAGAGGGCAGAGGCGGCGGTGACCACCGCGAGCCCGGCGGAGCTCGCCACGTGCGTAGCCCGCAGTGCGCAAGGGTCCCGGGGAGTCCCTCACTCAAGGAGTCTCCCGGGCCGCCGCCGCAACAGGGGTCTCCACGCAGAGTCCCAGCGCCGTTTCTATGGTTACCTGTTCAGGACCGATTCAAACTGCCGTTCTTTATTGACAGCGCCATAGAGGACACGAACACTCCTGCCCGAAGGGAACAATAAAGCTTTCTCCATTCAACAGCGCCAGAGACGCCAAAAGGGAGCCATCTTGGGGCCGGGGACGCTGATGGGAGAGGCCCGGATGTGCTCACGCCATAGCCACATGCTGCGGGTGGTCTCGCGAGAAGACGGCGCCTGCTTCACGTGAGCACTCTCCGCCAATGGTAGGACCCCAGGACGAGTAGCCGACTAGTCTGTTCTTGACCTCTAACCTTCGCCACAACTCCTTGGGAGAAGAAGGTTTACCCTGGCATCTCCGAGGTTAGCAGCCCGGAGACAACAAAGGTGTCTTAACGTTTCCCGTAACAACAGACGTGGTCGCGTGACTAATGCCTGGACTGGGCTTGGTGTGGATGTTCGCAGTGATTCTTACTTGTCTCTCGCTTTACTCGCCGCACCTCGCACTCTTCGAACCCCGATCCGGGCGTCCTGGCAGTCAGACGTTTGTGTGCCGGATCCACTTAACATTAGAAGCAGTCCCACTGGCGCTGGCTCACATGCAGACCTGTTTGTCCCCGCCACCACCGATGCCCGGATCCAAGCTTCTCGCCGCGGTGTCGAGCTCCCTCTGTGATTACAGCGGTTCTATCGGCAGTGACAATATTCATTGGTCCCCAGTGCTGTTGCTGTCAGCTTGACTCACTGCAATGCCGTTTTAAACCAGAAATTCAATCTATCGAGCAGAGCTGTCACTCGAATTGCTGCTGTCACCTGGCCTGTCGTATTTACTGTCACTGTGCGGTTTGCACATGCTGCCAGGGACTATAAACTTCGAACTGTTCTGTTCATTAGAGCACTCTAGCCAGCTGCTCTAGTTCGTTTCTGTTGTGATAAAATACCCTGCCAAAAGCAACATACTGAGTCGGGCTTGGTGGCCTGCTCTGCAGGCAGAGGCAAGCAGATCTCTGTGAATTTGAGGCTAGCTTACTTGTTCTACAGAAGGAGTTCCGGGGCGACATAGTAAGATGAAGGAGGAGGACGACCAAGGGGAGAAAGATTTATTTCAGCTTATAATTGCAAGTTAGTCCATCACTTTCAAGAAGTCAAAGCAAGATATAAGAACTAGACAAGGCAAGGGCCGGGCGGTGGTGGCGCATGCCTTTAATCCCAGCGCTCGGGAGGCAGAGGCAGGCGGATCTCTGTGAGTTCGAGACCAGCCTGGTCTACAAGAGTTCCAGGACAGCTTCCAAAGCCACAGAGAAACCCTGTCTCAAAAAACCAAAAATAAATAAATAAATAAGACAAGGATGCATCCACAGTCTAAGAGCAGACAGAAGTAAGTGCACACATGCTGATTTGCTGATTTGCTTGTGCTCAGTTGGATTTCTTACACAGCTCAGGACCCCTTGTCTGGGAAGTGGTGCTGCCCAGAGGACTGGGCCTTCTGACAGTGGTTAACTCAAGACACCCTCACCACAACACACACACAAGAGAGAGAGAGAGAGAGAGAGAGAGAGAGAGAGAGAGAGAGAGAGAGAGAGAGAGAGAGAGAGAGAGAGAGAGCAACCCATGAAGACCATCCCTTAGTGAGACATTCTTCCCCAAACGAGTCTAGGTTGTGTCAGGTTGACAAAGCTAAACCTCACACCAACTGTCATCTGTCATCACTCAGCTGTTCTTACCACAGTCAAACCAGCATTGACAGCCCCCTGCCTGGTACACAGCCACCTGGTACACAGTCACTCTCGCCGTTATCATCACAGGCCACCATCAACTTCAGCATCAGATTTGTCACTTTTATGGCCTCCAGACCTTCACCTACAGCTGCTGTGACTACTGACCCCCCCACACCCTGCAGCCCCAGGTTCACTTATAGCAGGAGCCCCACAATGTAACGTCGGATGTAGGAAACACCTATGACCGTGCTCAGTACATAGGTGCTCCACAAGTAGGTACTACATGTGTGGATCTTTTAAAACCAGTGCCCACTGTGCTTTATATTAAACTGGTTGGCTTGCATCTCAAGCAACAAAATGAGTTTTAAGCTCCTCTGCCCAACCAGGCTCTGCCTCACATAAGGAGTAAAGGAAGAGATCATGAGAAAAGAGGTCACCATGTACACAGAATTTTCATTACTGGTGACAGAAAACAAGTTTTTCTTTCCCGTCCTTGGGACCAAACCCAGGGTCTTGCAAATGGTAGTCAAGGGCTCCACCACTGAGCTGTATCTCCCAATCCCAAGAATAGGATTTTAAAAAGCTTTTTTCTTTTGTAAAAGGAATACATGGATTTGGCAAAATGTCTCAGCAGGTAAAATCACTTGTCAGCAAGGCGGATGACCTGAGTTCCATCCCCAGGACCCCACATGCTGAAAGAAAATTGCTGACTCTCACAGATTGTCCTCTGACCTCCACACATGCTGTGGCACATGTCTATCCATACACAAATAATATACATGTAATGAAAAGACTGCATGGCCAGGGAGATGGGGCAGTGAATAAAAGCTCTTGTCACACAAGCCTCACCTGAGGTCATTCACCAGCACCCACGAGGAAGGAGAGAACCAACTCTAGAGATCCTCTGACCTCCATGTTTGTGCACTGTACTCACACACATAGATACACATCATATAGGAATAATGAAAATTAGGATAATAGCCAGGAGTGGTGATGCATGCCTTTGATCTCAGCACTTGGGATGCAAAGGCAAGCAGATCTCTGTGAGTTTGAGGCCAACCTTGTCTACAAAATAAGTTCCAGGACAGTCAGGGCTTTGTTACACAGAGAAACCCTGTGTGGAACGTCCCCTATTAGAATAACAGGAAATGCCTTCCCTAGTACACATTATTTGTGTGTGAGAGAACATATGAACATACACACAGAGAGAACTTAACTGCAGTTTCCTGATAACATTTTACATTGAGTATCATTAATCCAAGAATCTGAAATCCAAAATGTTGAAAACTCAAGATTTTCCAGTACAACATCATGAGTAGAAAATGCCATACCAGATCTGTGGCAGATTTCAGTTAAAACAGGTGACATGTCTAGGGAGCAATGACTTAGTGGTTAGAGCACTGGCTGTTGTAGCACGAGTTCTAATAGATCTCAATAATAAAAGTCAGATATAGGAGAAAATGCTGAGAAATCAGAGAGAAGAAGGAGTAAGCCAAAGCCACCTTTACCTCACTAGCTTCTCAGAGGAAAAGAGCAAGTTCCTGTTTCCTCCTGCCTATACTCCTTTCTCCCCCTAGCCATCTCACTTCCTGTCTGTCTGTACAGACCTTCAGACCTCTATGGTTAGCTAGTAGCAAGCTCCACCCTCTGATCTTCAGACACACTTTATTTGTACAAACAAGCTATCACCACAGGCTGTTCTCCCAGAGGACCTGTAACTCCTATCCCGGGGGATCTGATTGATGTCTTCTTCTAGCCCCTCAGACAACAGGTACCCACATAGTACACAAACATACATGCAGGTGAAACACCCATACACACACACATACACAAATGTATGTACTGACCATCTGATTTTATACAGCCTTCAGTCTATGTATGTAAGGTGTACATGAAGTACCCATGACTTTCTGATCCAGTCCCCATGATATCTCAAGTATGGAGAATATTCCAAATACAAACATTCCAAATCTGAAATCCAGAATACTTCAAGTCCCAAGCAACTTGCATGAGACATTTTTGGGATATCTTTTACTTATTCTTCAGCAGTTTCATACATGTAAACATCTTGACCATATGCACCCCCACTCCTCCCCCCCACTCCCCTGGACACCCCCCTTCCACCTTCATTCCTTTTTAAAAAATGTTGTAACCCACTGAGTCCAATTAGCGCTGCCTGATGGAATCCTGACTGATCCTGTGTAGGTAACCACTAGTTCGTGAGTGCCACGGCCATGTCATGTCTCAAAGACAGCATTACACAGTACACATGCAGGCAGAACACACACACACACACACACACACACACACACACACACCCTCTTGCTCTTATATTCTTTCTGCCTCTCTTTGGAGATGTTGCCTGAGCCTTGGAGGAGGGTTGATGCAGGTGTGTCTGATGTAATGCTAAGCATTCCATAGACACTTATTCCCAGCACTTGGAGCAGTTCTGCAGCTCTGTAGTGACTGCCACCCGCTGCAGAAAGAGCCATGTCTGGCCTAGGCCAAGAAGAGCACTAAGCATGAGACAGTCTTCTGGATCTGACTTGCTCTACAGTTCAGGAAGAAGAGCACAGAAAGGCTAGGAGTAGGTCCCACGGTAGAACATGTGCCACGCATGTGAGCCTGTATTTCAAAACAGCAAAATGGCGACTGAGCACAGTGGCACACGTCTGTAGTCACGGCTACTCAAGAGTTGGATCACTTGAGCCCAGGAGTATGAGGCAGTGTGGTAACACAGGAGGGTCCTGTCTCAAGGAGCATGGTGGAAAACGGAGGAAGCAATATTACAGAGAGCACTGCCCCTGGCTTCTGGCTGGTTGCCCCGTGGATGAATAAGAAAACAGTGTCTGGACCTTCTAATACAGTAGCCCTGCTTTCTCAGAGAGTGGAAACAGCTTTTGTAAAAATAACAGGAGCTTTCCCATTAGTAGAAACTTGACCTTGGTAGGAAAGACACTTAGGGACTTTTCAACTCTGTCTACCTTAACAGAGTTGGTTCTTGGGCCACTGCCCTTTGTAAGATAACTGAGATGGTTCCAGCTAATCCATCCACTGTGAAGTCTCAGGAATGTGGGTCAGTGCTAAAGCCCTCGATTATTATTCAAGTGACCCCATGTGATCTCCATCACCAAAAAATGAACAAAATGAAAAACTACCATTTCCACAGTGTTGAACACATACCAAGGACACTGAAGAGGGAGGTAAAGGAGCCACCGGCATTTCACCGCTAATGAGAGCAATTGTTTATGTCTTCATGTCTCCCTGCTGCATGCCACACCCCACAGGTGTCTAGAGTATCTCATTTAATTCTCGTAACCACTCAGTGACCTTGGTGTTGTGACACTGGAAAGATAGTTCAGCAGTTAAGAACAATTATGGGTCTTGAAGAGGACTTGAGTTTGGTTCCCAGTACTTATATCAGGCAATTCACAACCAAGTATAACTCCAGGTCCAAGGAATGTGATGTCCTCTTCTGGCCTCTGTGGGAACCTATACTCATGGGCACATACCCCCTCCTCCAACACACATAGACACACAACTAAAAATAAATCTTTTTTAAAAAGAGTAAACTGATTCAAAGAAAGAAAATAATTTGCCTACAAAGAGACAGCTCTTCAAGGAATTAGGTGTTAAGCCAGGAGGGCTGACTTCAGGTTCTGTACATCCTTCAACCTTGCATATTAACTAATGTTTTTATGTAATGCATGTGTTCACTGTAAGGAATGGGAAGATTTCAGAAAAACACAAAGATAGTGGGAGGCCAGCGCTTGTAAATCCCACCACTTAGTTACACCCTTCCATTAGAGCTGAGCCTCTCTCCATCTCTGGACATATTTATGTTAGTGGATGGCTATGCAGATAATGACAATTGATGATAGCTTCTGTCCACTGATCGCGATGTTTTGGG